GTGCCACCGCTGTCACCTGCCCGCGGCCCGCGGGGGACAGGGCGGCCCACAGGGAGAGCCCCGAGGAAACGGGGAAGTGGAAGGTCCCCGTCCCCAGCTCCACGAGGCGCCCCCCTCGGTAAACGGTGGGAAAAAGGGGTTAAAGCAAATAGTCCCAGCTGGCGTCCCGCTCTGCCTGGGAACAACCGCTTAACTTAATCCTGGCTGGGTTCCACCCCACGGCATGGCAATGGCAGCGAGCTCTTCGGGGAGGTGGGGAAGCGGCAGCAGCACCGCCGGCGAAGGTTTAAAAACAAACCCGAAAGCAGCGCGTGAGCAGAAACGAGGGATTAAAGGGAGTTTAGTGGAGCTTTGCTGGTGTGACACAAATCCTGCAGGTAACGTGGAGCCCCCCCAGACATGTTTGTAATACGGCAAAGCGATTAAAGAGCCAATTGGACAGCTAGAAAGAAAGGAATCGTGAAATGGCACAATTTTTAATAAAAGTCTATTTATGAACCACACGATCATCAAGGTTGGAAACAACCTCCGAGATCATCCAGTCCAACCTTCAGCCGAGGACTTTCTCGGGCATCAAGAGATACGTGCCTATAGACAGAGGAAGATCCATTATTGCCTAGGTTGAAAAAAAGTAAATAGTCAAGGAGTTTGTTGGTGAGACAATCTGGTAACGAGGTTGATGATGCTATTGGAGATGGGAAAGAGGAAATCCAAAGGCTTCCAGTGTTAGTAAGGACCCAACTGGAGGTTTCATGTGCTTGTCATTATTTAAATACTGTGCTAGGAACTGTATAATGAATGATAAAATTGTAAAGCTCAGTGATGTTACCTCTCGGTTGAAAGCATGACGATATGGCTTAATGTAAGAGCATCAACCTGGAAAATAAAGGGAATTGCCTAAACTCTTATGGGTAGAAATACTGAAAATTTAACTTACTACTTCATCAGCAACAAAAACAATAAAACAGGGAAATATAATAGGAAAAGATATCTAATTTAGAACAGATGGCAGGAAGCTTTTTTCCCCTTGCATGGAACCACAACTGTACAGAATGATCAGTGGGGAATTTTGGTAGGGTGAAAACACCACAGTTATTCTCGCACTCAGCACTTGAAAGCTTTGGTGAAGGAAAGAGAAAATGGGAATGAAAGTTGCTTTTTAAATCACCCAGAACTTCTAATTAGTTTCTATTGCCAATTTTAACTGCAACATGAGAAAGCTTTTGCCTCATCATCCACAACAAATTTCTTATAAAAATAACATATCCTAGTAAAAAATAGGAGACTGTTCAAACATTAATTCTCTTGCTGTGTAACATTCTGCTCTTTTCCTTAAGGCAGATTATTGAGATCAGCCCAAACTATGCAGGACAAAGTCTGTGCAAAGATATTTGCTGGCCTTCTTGCTTTGGAAAATGCAAAGGTCCTTTTATCAGAGAAACACAGAATCACAGAATGGTTTGGGTTGAATGGAAGGGACCTTAAAGATCATCTAGTTTCAACCCCCCTGCCATGGTCAGGGACACCTTCCACTAGATCAGGTTGATCAGGGCCTTGTCCAACCCAGCTTTGAACACTGCTCAGGAACAATGCATCTGTGCAGCAGTGAGCACCTCCACTGATTTTCAGTTCCACTTGGTGCTTCCTGTTTGCCTTTGTGAGGCTCAAACACCCAGAAGAGGATATCTTAAGCAAGCTGAAGACAAGTCATGTAATTTCCTCACTGCCATGCTCCCCCTCATCTTCATCATTGAGACTCATGGGTTTTCTGTAACTGGATCTCTTCTCTAAGTGCTCCAGAAGCAGCGATGACTGCTCTCTAAAACTACTTAGATGGATTTGACTTTCACTTCTTGTTGCAATGCTTCAAATTTTTTGCTATTTGAACCACATCACCATCTCATACAGCACTCCACCCGTAAGGTTTTGTGTACTTTTTTGGTAACACACACTGATGTTTAGCTTGTTTCTGAGAAGGGCTTACACTAAGTTAAGGACTTTTCAGTTTCTCACATCAACCCACTAGTGAGTGGACTGGGCGTGCAGAAGTTGTGAGGGGACACAGGCAGGACAGCTGATCCCACATGACCCAAGGGACATCCCATAGCATATGGCACCATGCTGAGTAAAAAGCTGAGGGAAAGTTTGGAAGTAGGCTGGGCATTGGTCAGCAGGTTTGGGTTTGCACTGTGCATCATGTGTTTTGTATATTCTAACTGGTGGTGGTAGTGTTAGTAGTAGGAATAAGACCTTCCCTTCGATTTCTGTTGTATGTTTCACTGTCTTTATGCCAACCCATTAATTTTATTTTTTTTTTCCCCAATTCTCTCCTCCATCCCACTGTGGGATGGCCCCATGTGGGGGGCATGTGAGAAAGTGACTGTGTGGTGCTTAGCTACCCACCAGGTTAAACCACAACATATAAGCAGCACACCTGCACTCGGTGCACTTTGCTCCTTTTGTTCTTAAGTTTGTTTTGGCACTCCTCATTCCCACTATCTCCAGAGGGCTGCACAGAGGAGCACACATAACACCGCTCCAGGCATGGCATTCCCAGCACACCATGGCCTGTAGCAGCCCCGACTTACCAGTTTCATTCAAGTTTGGATTTCGAGATGATTTTCACTACCCCAAAGACTGGACTCTGAGCTCATCACCCTACTCCTGGAGCCGGGGCTGTAAGTTCAGGTGCATACACCATGATTTGGTCTTTCATATATAGTGCAGGGGGGTGGAAATGGAACTGATTTCATCTGCTCATTCTAGCAGCGTATTTCAGCTGATTCAGAGATGCCAGAAGGTTTAGACACGATTGAAGAAAGCGGATGCTTAAACTCTCTTAACCTGTGACGTGATACTAGTGCCCACTTCTGATCTTTAAGATATGATAAGCTTGAAAGAAATAGTGCAGATCTTCTCAGGTAAATGATTCATTTCTTTATATAAGAGAAAAAAAGGAATTACTGCCATTGAGGGGTTTGAGGCCTTGTGCGTTAGTAAGAAATAAACAATAATAGTAATCAGTTTTCATTTCTGTGCCTTTATTTCCTAAACACTCTGTTGTAATTTTACAGATGGGGAAACAGAGCAGGCAGAGGTAAATGAAATTGTGCAAAGGCACAAGCCAGAAAAGAGATGAAGCAAAAAGCAAACCTGGATAGGCAGTTGCCCTGGCAGCTCGGATCTCTCTCTTCTCTCCTCAAACCCCTCATCCTACCACAGGTGAAGAACTGCTACCGCTTGGGTCTTGGGAATGGGCAGTTCAGATAACACAGTAGTGAGAAGACAGGGAAACAGACAGGGAAACAGTAGGAAACAGAGAAAATGCAGTCCAAGAAGAGGTAAAAGAGATAGTAAATGAAATGCAATGCTCAATAACATAGGAAGATCCATAGGTTTGGAAATCATTAGGAGCAAAACAAACAGGTTAGCCAGAAAGACAATGTAATAAAAAGCAGGTGAAATTTAGAAGGTCCTTGAAAAAGTAAGTTAAGTAACAAGTTGTTGCTTTTGAAGAGCTATCCTTTATCAACACGAATTGGAAGTCTGCCAAAAAGGCAGTGCCTGCTGAGTGAGCCTAAATGATTAACTGATATAAACTATTTTTTATTTTTTTTTCAGTGATAGAGTTGCATTTGTTTAGTACTTCACATGGTAAGTAAAGAGATTCCTTCTTAGGGATAAAGATTGACAATCCAGTCAAGAATTAAATGTAGAAATGAAGGGCTCAAAAGGAATCCATAAAAATAACTTTTAAAATAATAATTATAATTGTTATAATTTTATTAATTATGAGATAGAGGGGGAAATATTCAATTTTGGGGGTTCTAAACCAGTACCATGGCCTTGATCCTTTATTAAAATCCATATCTCTGTAATAAAAATTAAAGTCTGTTAGAACTTAGCCTAGGATAAGATGTGCTTGAGCCTTTTTCTTTTCTTCCCCACTCTCTCATTTTTCTTTAAGTGAGCACAATCAAGTAATATTGTCCTTTTGAAAGTATCAAGGCAAATGCAAAATGTAGTTCTTCTGTATCCATTATAAATCCAGTTTAAATCTGCTTCATTATTACATAATTAATGTACTTAATTTAAGATCCCTCTGAATACTCCTTCATCTCCTTATTTAATAATCTGCTGTGCTTGCATGTCTGAACCTTGTCTGGTCCCAGCTTCTCCCATTCCTAATCAGCTCTTACGTTGGCAGTAGGACTTATACTCTCAACAGCCCCTCTACTTAATGTGATCACAGTTCAGTCTGTGGGCTTGTCTAAAAGGCAGTCATTCCATTTGTTAATATGTGACCTCCTTTACTTTTAATTTTTTTTCCCCACAACCAAGGAAGAATCGTCTATTGTCTTCCAAGCCAGGCAAAGTGAACAGGCTGAGTCAGTCCAGGAATATTCAAGCCTCCCCATCTGTGGTATTGCAGAATTCCAGGGCAATTCCACCAGTTGGTGGAGCTTCTGTCTGGGAAAACAGAGCTATTGTGAACAAAGCATACTGTACATATTTCTAACATTCATAAAAGACTGGGTTTGAATCATTTGAATCTTTCTCAAAATTTCTTCCTTTGGGGCAAAAATTTCCAATGCATGGCCATGATCCAATTATAGTCATTTGGAAAATCTGAGCATAAGCCATGCAACCATGTCATTAACTAGTTGTGAAAAGAAAAGATAAATGTTTGACTGTAAGAGTATGACAGCAAGCTGGATTATATTGGGACTTCATTTACTCAAGACTAGGAGTCGGTTTTAGCAGGGCATGGCCTGCCAAATACACCACCAAAGACTAAGACAGGCCTTCCCCTCTTCTTCATCATGACCTCTCTGTGACAAAGACTCCTTTCAAGCAAAGGGGGTGGAATGAGCTCCTCTTTCAGTTTGGAAACAGAGCAGTGATAAACTGGGTGTCCTAACAACCTTCTGTGGCATGCTGCCTCTCATCTAGAAATGTGCTGGCCTAATGTTTTAAAGCAGCTGTGAGACAGAGCTGCTGTTCTAGGCTATCAAACTCTGCTAAGTGTCATTCTGACCAAGATGTTTTCAAGACTTTAGTCACTTTGATCAGCACAGAAGATGTTACATTTATTTTCTGAACAACAGAATACCTCTGAAGGACAGGATTCTGACTCACACCTAAATCCAACAACATTTTAGATGAAATTAAAAACTGACAAGTCTTTTCTAATGCCCCATGCGTACAAATTCAAAAATACAGATTAATCATCTAACCCTTCACATGCATGCAGGGTGAGGAAAGGGTACGAAACAGACCAACTTCAACACGATGATAAGGGCTGCATCCCAAATCCCACCTCTCTGGAGCAAGGAGATGTACCTTAGGACAGCAGGAAGTCTTACCTATGTCCTAACTCACCTATGAGATTTTTCAAAAACACAGCTGGAAGGAGAGAGGTGCTACTTTCTGTTGACTGTAGATCTGACAATTACAGCACTCCCTAGAAAACAGAAGATCTGTGATTCAGCTCATTTCTTATCTTAAGAAGACTTCAAATCTTAAGAAGACACTGACCTTTATCTGAAATAATGGCCTCATCACCAGTTTATTGGTTGTCTAGGAAGGTATGGAGGAGAAAAGGAACCTTAACATAGAAATCATGCTCAGTCAGGCAAGAAAGTTCTCTTAAGGCCATGGCAGTATTTTTATACTGTAGGTCTGTAATATAAAATAACACGAGCCATCCTTGGAGCAGGAATGGATAGGATAGGCAGATCTCCTCCATCCTAGCAGACAGCCTGAAGCTCTAGACTACAGAGCTTGCACACAAACCTGAAAGTGCTTTCACCACTTCAAACAGGTGGTTGAGATACCACCCAGAATGATGTAGGGGTTACAGCAATCTCCTGGGAGATGGGGAATGTAGGTTGAGTTTCCCCATTCCCACCCTTACCTCCCCGCCCCACACAAACTAGGTGAATCTGAATGTCTTGCTTTCTGTGCAAGTGCTGAAACTACTGAGTTATTGTGCAATTTAGGTGCACCAACCGACTCCTCTTTGGGGTTTCCCTAGAATCTGGCATTTAGGCAGATGAACGGTTGTTTTCTACATCCTGGAGGAAGATAGGAAATTTTATTTAAAAAAATGCCAATAGATACTCTTTGCATAGGAGGTTAGAGTAGATGCCATTTCTATGGTATTACTGAATCTATCATAGAATGCCCCTTGGGTTGGAATGGATCCTAAAGGTCATCTAGTTCCAACCCCCATCACAGGCAGGAAACCTTCCACTAGATGAGCTTGCTCAAAGCCCCATCCAGACTAGTCTTAAAGACCTCCAGGGATGGGGAATTCATAGCATCTCTGGGCAACCCATTCCAGTGCCTCAGCATGCTCACAGTAAAGAATTTATTCCTAATATCAAATCTAAACCTGCCCTCCTTCAGCTTAAGGCCATTCCCCCTAGTCTTGCCACTGTCTGATTTAGACAATTCTGGATAGATCTGGCAGCCAGTCAGGATTTCAGAAGTTTGATTTGGGTATCTTAACCCTAAAAACAATGACATTTCATGGCCTTGGCCCCAGAAATCTGCAGCCTAAAGATGGCTCTGGTCTTGGGGAAGCCAAGCAAATTCTGACGAGTTGCCATCACATTATTTGGCCATAAATGCAAATGCATGGCTGGGCACTGGAAGTGAACCCCTCAGCCTCTCCACACTGTCTGCTCCCAGCGTAACCTTCAGTCTCCCCAATTCTAGCAGCACCCAGCAAACAACCCTCAACAACCTTCCCCCCCTTCCTGGAACTTTATTTCACCCAAGGCCTCCTTTATACTGCTGCAGGCTTCCTCCCGTTGTTGCAGTGCCTGGTTTTATTATTCCAAGTTATCCAATAAGCCCTGGGAATAACATCCTTCTGGCCCTCACTCCTGCACCGCCGCCTCCAGCGAATCAAGCTGTGTACACACCAGTTAGACAATTTGCCTACTGTTGTTCCTGTCCCCTTATCTCTCCCCCCGCCTCGCTGTTTATACTTAATGGACTGGGAGTTCCTTGCACGAAGAACTTCCTTTTCGCCTCATGGGAAGCACGCAGCGTATAGTGAGTGACCTCTCATGTCATAAATAACTGCAGGACAGCAGACCGTGCTCTCCCTAGAGGGAACCGCTGGCTTGGGTCGGTGGGTGAGCAAGTGCCCGGCTCCCTGCACAACACCCATATCTGCCCAAAGCACACAGCACACTCAATGCCACTTTCTAATCATTTTCTCCAAACATCCCATTTCCTGTTCTTTAAATAGCACCTCAAAGATTATTTTAAAGGCTTTCAAAACACTCTTGCCGCCGGTTTTGGGTTTGGAGTGGGTTTTGTTGGTTGGGTTTTTTTTTTAGCCTTCTTGCATGACGATATTTTCACGTCGTGGGAGACAGGAACAGCTCGAGGAAGCTGCGAAGTTGCACGGAGTACCCGGGGGAGGAAAGGCGGGGGGGGCAACACGGTTTCTAGGACAGTCCACCTGGCACCGACGTTTTGTTCTTGCACACACTTTCAGTGCGGAGCTGCAAGTTTCGGGATGACTCTGGAACTTTATACCCCTCTCGGGGGTAACCCGCTGGGAGCGGGGCGAGGGGCCCGGAGGGCGGCAGCGCTCCGCGGAGTCCCTTTCCCAGCAGAGAGGCCCGAGATGCAAAGGAGAAATGACACCATGGAAAGCGGAGTATTTTTATCGGGGCCAGTGCCCGGGGTGAGGGGTGGGCGGAAAGTGCCACCCTCTCTCTGTCTCTCCTCCCTTGTCCTCAGCCGCCCACGCCGGCAGCGGCATCAAAGGGAATCTCCCTTGTCGCGCCGTGTCAGCACCGGGGATGAGCGCACCGGCCCGTCATGGCATTTTCGCTTCTCCCGGCGCTTACTCAACAGGCGGGAGGGGAGGGAGGGCTG